CAAATTTCAAGGCTCAGTTGGGCAGGTGAAACTCAGCTCAGGTCATCCTAAAGCCTTTGATCCCTTTCACAACTTCGACTTTCTCTTAAACAAACATTACCGCCTATTCTGGTTCACCTCCCCTACAGACATCCTGAATCATATCTTCCACATATTTGCAGTTTTCCCCTTTTTGAATATAAAGCCAAATAATGATGATGTATTAGTCTGCGTATCCCCCTCTCTCCAGAAAGATGGTGATTTCCTTTATTATGTCTCGTGTCTGCTTCTGTTGCGCAGCAGTTGTAAAAATAGTCTCTGCTTCTGGAGGATGTATAAAAAAAACACACGCTGCAGCGGGGTTTCAACCAGCCTGATTTATTTCCAGAGGAGGGTAAAATGTCATAAACGCCAGGCTTAGATAAACAGTTTCAGACTGTGCGATGTGGTTGGGTTTGTTATATACATTAGACCTGATTTGTGCTCCTGGAACGTAAGGAAAAGTACGATTTGACATCCTGCTCGAACATAAAATTGTCTTTCCTGACAGATAGGCCTTTTTTTATTATTTGATCTTTTTTTTTTTATCTTCAGGAGAAATTCCAAGCAACATCCATATTTTTGTGTCTGAACACAAGAGAGGCTGTTTAGGGTTCCTCTGTTCTCTGATCCAAAGGATTCCTGTGTCCTTGCTGCAGTCAGCAGCGGTTTTCCCTCATGACTTGCTCAGACCTGCAGCTTCTGATTGACAGGCAGGCATCCAAGTGCTGATTAGAACTTTTTCGTTACTGCCGAGCGCCCAGACAGGGTTTGACCTCTGACCCCGCCACACAGCTGTTTCAGAGCCACATAGCTCTCTTTTTACAGCCAGATCCACTGAGGAGGATATCTCTCTGTGAGCAACCTGGAGCTACTCTCAGAGCTGTTAAAGCTAAAGGCAGAAAATAGAAAGGCACTTCCACACTGGCGGATCATCATTCCCAGCTGCATTAATGCATGTTTCTGTATGTGTGTTTCAGTTTTGGGATGAACCACGATGGGATCGGCAACTCCTGCGGCACCAAAGGCCATGAAACAGCCAAGCTGATGGCCGCTCACATAACAGCCAACACCAACCCTTTCTCCTGGTCTGCCTGCAGCAAAGACTACATCACCAGCTTTCTCGAGTAAGTGGATGATGGTTGCTCCCTGTGGGACTGTCTGAGTGGGTTTGTGTTTGCCTGCATGTGTGCGTTTGAGCTGAAAAGGAAAAGGTGCTTGAATGTTTTCCTGCCTGCTCCCAGATGTCTCGGTTTACAACCTGCTGCCTTTGGCTGCCTCTGGTGTTCAACATTGGGTCTTCCCCACTCACAACCAATCTGAAACAGACTGCTGCCAGACCTCCTTCTGGCTCTGCCTAACTTCTAAGTGCTTTCCAGTCTGCACCATTATATCACAAGACTGATAATTTAGGAGCCTTTAATTCAATTCAATTTAAGTTCATTTCTATAGCGCCAATTCACAACACATGTCATCACAAGGCACTTTACAATTCAACCAGATCATACAGTCAAAATCATTCAAAGTTTTCCATCTAAGGAAAACCAGTTGATTACATCGACTCATTGACTCAGAGGCAATCCCTCACACTGCTTCAAGGTTTTACTGGTAAAGTGTCACTCAACGGGTTTCTCTTTAGGAACTACGCTCACTGGCAATTTATCAGGTACACTTTATTAGTGAATATCCTAACTCTTCATGGCCTGTATGCAACAAGATGTCAAAAACATTGGAAAGATTGAGTTTTTAAGAATGGGAAAGGTCGCTAGATGTTCTCCAGCACTACCATCCATGTTTACTTCCGTAAACACAGAGCACACTTGCTTGTAATGTCATTGTATCCTCTACTGCACATGCAGGACACTTAGGTTGTATGAATGGAGTTCTCGCAGGAGATCAGATACAAGTCGCATATATTTGGAAATGTAAACAGCAACTCAAAATTGAGCATCAAGGCCTGCAGTGTGAACATAGCCTTAGAAGCAAGTGTGGGATTTTGCTGAATAGCTCTTCCCATGAATGTAAAGTGGAATGAATGCAAAGGTTCTGTGGAAGGCAAGATGGTGGTGATTCTCTGTGGTTGATTGTTGGAGAATCATAGTAAACCTAGAATCAGGTTCAGCCTTAAGAACTTCCTTTACAACATTGTCAAGTTCGAATTAAAATGGTGCGGCATGGAAGGAGAATGGAGTCTCTCCTCAGATTGTTGTGTGCTGGGTTTGATGTTCTTTGATCCTGGATGGGAAGTTATGTTGATGATAAAACAAAATAGAATAGTGAACTATGGCGCTTTTGGGCCTTGAGGCATTTAGAAATTTTTGGTTTTTGTGATCCGTCCAGAGCAGAATCTCAATGGCGCAATCCTACTAAGGCTGGTAGAGATTACAAGTCATCCAGGTCATAGTCATTCAAAAAAAAGTTTTAAAAAAACAATCCCCTGAGCTTTGTTTCCAAGTTTGAAGTTATTTCGCTTCCCATCCAAGAAGCTTTTTCAATAATGTCAGAAATAGTGTTGAGTTTGAGGCTTTACAGAGTGGACAAAAAACAAAGACTTGTTTTGGCTTAGAAGACATGCAAATTGAAAGGGACAAACAGATCGACCCCCTTTGGAATGGGGGTTGTTTGGGTTCTTTGCTAGCCAGTAATACCCTATACCTGTCTATGTCTCTGAAGGGGGGAGGGGGTTAAATGGAAATATTAGCCTGGCTGAATAGGCAAGGTGTTCCTTTACCCTGTATGGGTGTGGGGGTTGCGATGATAGCGGGAAGAAATCAACCTAATTGCTGAATTGTTTGTTTTTTGAAAGCTGAAACCACCACCCCTGTTTAAGGTTGTTTTTGCTTTCTTAACATAGATGGCTTCCTTCACACCCCTCTCCAACCACCTGTCTTCTTTGTCCAAAATGTGAACATTCT